AGGGCTGATTCCACAGGTCGAAATCAAGCTGCGGGGGAAACCCGTGCAGATGCTAGAGCCAGGAAGAACCTCACCAGCCCAAAGGCTTTCAAGGGCAGGAAAAACAGGTGTGTGCAGGACCGGAAGTAGAAGGTGGAAAAACAGGTTCCACAAAAGTAGGGGGAGGCCGACTGCTCAGTGTCACTGAGCATTGCCAAGTCTATCTCCTAAAGGCTTCCTACTCTCTGGCCCCACTGCTCAAGGAGGCTAGTAACATCATCAGTTAAAAAATTTTGAGCCCTGCAAAAGGTCGGATTGTTTCCCCCAAAAAGATGTGCTGATGTTCCAACCCCAGTACCTCAGAATGTGATATTATGTGGGAAAAGGATTGTTGCAGCTGTGATTAATTAAGATTAGGTCCTGTTGGAGTATAGTGGGCCCCTCAACCAATATGACCGTGTCCTTATTAGAGGAGACCGGAAATGTGAAGGGAGAACTCCACATGACGATGGACATAGAGCTCGAAGGGCTGCACCTGCAAGCCAAGGAATGACAAGGACTGACGGCCACCACCAGAAGCTAGGGAGAAGGGAGGAAGGGTTCTCCCCCACAGGATCAGAGGCAGCATGACCCTTTTTTTTTTTTTAAGATTTTATTTATTTACTAGACAGAGAGAGCACAAGCAGGGGGAGTGGCAGGCAGAGGGAGAAGCAGGCTCCCTGCTGAGCAAGGAGCCCGATGCAACACTCGATCCCAGGACCCTGGGATCATGACCAGAGCCATAGGCAGTCACTTAACCGACTGAGGCACCCAGGCGTCCCAAGCATGGCCCTACTGACATCTTGATTTCAGACTTCCAGCCTAACTGTGAGATAGTACAGTTCTGCTGTTTAAATCACCTAGTTTGTGGTTCTTTGTTACAGGTACCCTAGGAAACTGATACAACCAGCCACTGAAATATAGGTATATTAACTTATTTGTAGGTTGCATATATAAGCATTACTATACTAATGTGGGTTTTTTGATGGCAGGTACATTTTATTGGTTTTCTTTCAGATACTAATATGTTTTTAATATAAAAACAGAATTTTTTAAAATATTTTATTTACTTATTTGACAAAGAGAGAGAACAAGCAGGGAGAGCTGCTGAGGGAGAGGGAGAAGCAGGCTGCCTGTTGAGCAGGTAGCCTGATGTGGGACACGATCCCCTGGGATCATGACCTGCACCAAAGGCAGATGCTTAACCGACTGAACCACCCAGGCACCCCTAGAAATAGAATTTTTAAAGGATGAAACATTGATTACACAATATTTTTAAATCATTTTTACTTTGTTAATGGTATAAAAAATGGGATTTTTTTTAAAGATTTATTTTAGAGAGAGAGCACGAGCAGGGAGAAGGGCAGAGGGAAAGGGAGAATCCTCAGAGTTCTCGCTGCGCGTGGAGCCTAACATGGGGCTCAGTCTCACAACCCTGAGATCATGACCTGAGCAGAAATCAAGAGTCAGCAGCTTAACTGACTGAGCCACTCAGGTGCCCCTGGTACAAAAAATGTTTAGCAAATCATGAAAAGACAAGGGAGAAATTTAAATGCATGTTACAAAGTGAAAGAAGCCAATCTGAAAAGGCTACATGCTATATGATTCCAACCATATGACATTGTGGAAAAGCTAAAACTATGGAGGCAGTGAAAGGATCAGTGGTTGCCAGGGGGTGGGGGTCAGGGTGGAGGTAAGGATGAATAGGTAGAACACAGAGGATTCTGGGGACAGTGAAACACTCCATATGATACTCTGATGATGGATACATGTCATTACACATTTGCCCCAAACCATAGAATGTACAATGCCAAGAGTGAACTTCTTTATGGACTTTGGGTGATTATGATGTGCCAGTGGAGGATTCATCAATTCTAACAAATACCCGTCTGCAGGGGGATGTCGATAAAGGGGTGGGAGTGGGAGGACTGTGCATGTGGGGGGGCAGGGGTTATGGGGGATCTCTGTGCCTTCCTCTCCATTTTGCTGTGAACCTAAAACTGCTCTAAAAAAATAAAGTCTTTAACTTAAAAAATCTTTCAATGAGCAGATTTATAAAATAAGCTTCATTATTTTTTTGAAAATCCTCATTAAATATCATAACCCCGAAGTACAAATATATACTTCTAAATTCAGTTTTTTTCTATAGAAATTTTCTCTTACTCACTGTCATAGCCAAAATGTAAAATTTTAAAATGGCATAGTTTCAAATGGGAGGATTACGTTATTGACTCTGCTTACTCCAATTATGAAAAAAAATTGTGTTGTAATTTACCTGTTAATTCCCACCTTTCCTAGCATCATTTGTTCTTGCAAACTAATCAGAAAGTGTTATAAAATATGTTTAAAACCCACTACAACTCTTAACTGAGAACTCTTAAAACTGATGAGGAAATTGTTTCCTGCATCACATTTGCTTTTTCAACAACATCTGTTCAGTAGCATCCTACTGAAAGCCATTTGTTACCACAGGGGGAAAAAAGTCAGCAAATTAGACACTCATCTTTTTGTAAAAGAAAAACGCATAGTCTTTAAAATGAGCAAAAGATGAGAGGAATCTCACTGATTTCAAGACTTACACTATAGCTACAGTGGTATTGAGGATATGGTATTGGTGGAGGGTAACACATCGGTCAATGGAACAAACAGGAGAACCCAGAAATAATGCCTTACAAGTACAGCCAACTGATTTTTGACAAAGGTGCAAAAAAAAAATGCAATGAAGGAAACAGAATTTTTAATAGATTGTCGCGAAGTCACTGTATTTCCAAAAAAAAAACCCAAAAGAACCTCAGTCTAAACCTTATACCTTACACAACAGTGGGCCAACTCAAAACAGATCACATATTCCAATGTAAAGCATAAAACTATAAAAGACACTGGAAGAGAAAATCTTCAGGACCTAGGGCTCAGTGAAGGGTTCTTAGACTTAGACAGCCAATCCCCAAGAGCCCGATTCATAAAGGAAAAAATGATAAATCAGACTTCATCAAAATTAAAAACTTTCGCTCCCCATTAAAGACTATTAAAACAGTGTAGCAAAGACAGCTACACATGGAGAAAAATATACCTGTCAACTACATATTCAATAAAGGACTGGGATCTAGAATATGTAAAGAACTCTCAGAATTCAATGGTTTTAAAAAATCTAGGAAAAAAAAGGAAAGAAATCTAATTAGGAAGTGGGCAAAAGACATGAGCAAGCATTTCACTAACGAGGTTATACACATCAAAAGATGTTCACCATCATTAGCCGTTTGAGTAAAGCAAATGAAGGCCATGATGAGAGATCACCGCACGCTTCTGAGCAGAGCTGAAATAAGAAATGGCAACAACACGAATGCTGGTGAGGATGTGGAAAACGGAATCACTTCTACACTACTGGGTGGAATGTAAAAAGGAACAGCCATTCTGGAAAACATTTTGGCTGGTTCTTAAAAAACTCAGTAGGCACTACCATACAATCTAAGAACTGTGCGCTTGGTCATTTATCCCAGAGAAATGAAAACTTCTGTTCACAAAACACTGTACTTCTGTTCACAAAAACCTGTACACAAAGGTTTGTAACAGTTTTATTTGTAATAGCCCCAAATGGGAAACAATCCAGATAGTCTCCAGTGAGTGAAGGGTTAAACAAACGGTGCTCCATCCATACTATGGAATACTACTCAGTGATTAAAATGAATGAAGTATTGATACGTGCAACAACCTACATGGGTCTTCCAGGGAATGATGCTACGTGAAGACAGCCAATCCCAAAGGCAATATACTATATGATTCCATTTATATAACATGCTTGAATTGAGAAAATTACAGAAATAGAGAACAGATTAGTGGTTGTCAGGGGCGAAGGAAGGTATGGGGGGTGGGAAAGAGGGTATGGCTATAAAAGTACAACGTGAGGAATCCTTGTTTTGCACCTTGACAGTGTCAAGGTGGATATCCCGGTTGGGATACTGTACTAGAATTTTGCAAGCTGTTACCATTGGGGTAACTGGTTAAAGGATACATGGGACCCCCTAGGCATTGATTTCATACAACTGCAATGTAAAAAAGTTTAATTTTTTTTTTGAAAAAATGTTCCCAATAAATAAACGGACGGATGGGAATTCTAATATTTTCTCCCCAGGCCAAAGTGGATCATCTTAAGGAACCCCCAATTTCAGAGATCACTGCATATGTTGCTAGTCTCAACTGAGCCTTTGGGCCCCTATAGCTCTTCTCTATGTTCTCTTCAAGCTGTCTTTCTTAAAAGCAAATCTGCTCATGTGACTTCCCAAGATCACTAGCCTGACACACTGGGCCTTCATAATCTGGCTGTTAAGTCTCTACCCAATATATATGCTATCTGCTTATCTTATCTCAAATATTTTAACTCTAATTACTTTTTAAAGTTTTTTGGGTTTTGGTTTTTTGTTTTTTGTTTTTAGTAATCTCTACACCCAATGTGGGGCTCAAACTCATCATCCTAACATCAAAAGTAGCATGCCCTTCTGACTGAGCCAGCCAGGCACCCCTCTAACTTCTTTCTTTTTTTTTTTTTAAAGCTTTATTTATTTAAGAACACTTGGGTGGCTCAGATGGTTGGGCGTCTGCCTTCGGCTCAGGTCATGATCCCAGGGTCCTCGGATCGAGTCCTGCATCGGGCTCCTTGCTCAGCAGGGAGTCTGCTTCTCCCTCTCCCTCTGCCTCTCCCCCTGCTTGTTCTCTCTCTGTCTCTCTCGCAAGTGAATAAATAAAATAAAATCTTAAAAAAAAGCTTTATTTATTTAAGTAATTTCTATACCCAATGTAGGGCTTGAACTCATGACCCCGATCAAGAGTCAACGGAGCCAGCCAGCTGCCCCTAATTAACTTATTTCTAACCCTTATCAGGTTCCCTGCAGTAAATCTTGACTTAAATGTTTTATTACTTTTGCTTTGTGCATTGCCTCCTTAAGAGTGCAGAGGCACTGATTCTGTGTTACCCTCAGAATACTAACCTGCAGTCACTCCTGCCAGGTACACCAGCCCTACTCGGAGGCCTTTGTGGACCATTTCCAAGGGAATACCCAAAACGAGCTGCATGATGAGATTCCCCACGAGGTGCTGAACTCTGCGGAGACAAATACAGTAGTCAAATATGATGACTAACCCACACAGTTATTTCTTTGGGACATGAACAGGCATTGGTGTATTGTTTCTAGTTCAAATTCCACTTTCTAATTTTTTTAGGTGACCTTTTTTTTTTAAATAAAATCTCAACATGGAGCCTCAATATGTAAAACAGATAAAAGGACATTGTGGAAGTATATATTTATTTTATAAGTTCTGTTTCATAACAGTGACTAACAACATCGAACAGAGAGCGATGATGGCTTAAGGAACAAAACTTGAAATTGGGCTTAGATGACAATTGCCATTTTATGTCAGCCCCCTGCATCTGATTTTGTTTTGGTTGCACAGTATTGAGAAAATCCTAATGCACGCATAGTAGGCTCCATACCCAATGTGGGGCTGGAACTCTCAACCCCAAGATCAAGAGTCGCCTCCGCTACCGACTGAGCCAGCTGGGCACCCCAAATTTCAATAGGTTTTTAAACAACGGGTCTTGCAATTTTAGGATATTCTGTAATAAAACAGAGATGGCAAGAGAAACCCCATTCCCGGTTCTACATTAAAAAGTTGAAGGGCGCCTGGGTGGCTCAGTCAGTTAATCATCTGCCTTTGGCTCAGGTCATGATCCCAGGGTTCTGGGATCAAGCCCTGAGTCAGGCTCCTTGCTCAGCGGGGAGCCTGCTTCTCCCTCTCCCTCTGCCTGCGGCTCCCCCTGCTTGTGCTCTCTCTCTCTCTCTCTCAAATAAATAATTAAAATATTTTTTTAAAGTTGAAAAGACAATTTACCAGAATAAAAAAGAAAGTTTACCCAGTGACACTAGCTAAAGTTAGTATCTCCCATGTACTACAGTTTGGCATATAACATATTTGAGTGCAGGTGGTTTTTATTCTAGTTTTCAAAGAGGTAAAAATATTTTTAAATAACATTCATATTATGTTGCCTGTCAAACCCCACAGGCACCTCTGGAGAATCTTCGAATGTATTTTGGTACATGCCCATATTATAGTCATCCTTAATTTAGTTGCTACACTGCACAAGACTTTTTTTTTTTTTTAAGAGATTTTAGATTAAACCAAAAAGTTAAAAAATGAAATAGGTGTTGGATCTTTCACAACATGTAGCAGCTTTGAGGATTGTGTTTTGCATCATAATTTACTTAAATACTCAGCAGGGGCTCTCTGGGCATAGCCTACAGAACAGATTACTTACCTTCATGAGCACATGCACACCCAGCCACAACTGTCACTGCCCAAGTCATCTTCAAAGACACACAAGAAGTGACATGTCCTTCAGCACAGTCTAGCAAGGACAGTTGCGCTAGTCTTATGGGGACGTCAGACATAAAGAGTATTTGGAAATATGTGCCCTTTGTGAATTTGAACAAAGCCAAAGGGAGCCATCCCATCTTCTCCTGTGGGAACAGCTGGAGGACGAGGTGACCAGTAGGACAAAAAACCCCACAGAATCGCCCTCGGCGTCCTTCCTGCTGTGCAAATAGCAAGAGCAGAGATGACATAAGGATGAGACCCCGTCATGTACCCGGAGTGGAAATGCTAACTTTTCTCATCCAAATTTTATCTGCCCTTCCAGGTCCAGCTTGCATCCAGGTCATGCGGGAAACCATCCCCATTCTGATCTTTCCGTCTTTCTGTTTATATTACAGTAACTAATGCCACATCCATTTCCTTATCACTTGTCTGCGTCCTCTAGTGAGGCTGGAAGAGCTCATGTAGACTTTGTGAGGGGTAGCCGTGTCCCTGGCTCTGGCCAACGGGAGACTGGTAAGAGAGCTGCTTTCCTGAAGAAAGGGATGGGTGTCACCAGCACCTGGGCCTACCCTTCCCCTTCCTGCCTTTAACGCCCAGCTACAGCCACCAGCTGGCAACCACAAGACAAAGGTCAAGGGAAGAGCAGAGGTGCCAGCACCGAACCAAGAGGCTTGGCTTCCTTAAACTGATGAACTAACCACATACCTCAGGGCTCCTTATTTGGTAAAGAATTAACCTCCATTTGTTCAGGCCCCCATTTGATTTTTTGGCTACTTTCAGCCAGAAGCATTCTGAAATTCTACAACCCCATATGTGGCCTGTCCTACACAGCCTCGAGGATTCTTTGTGAGGGCCTTACTATGTGTCCCGGTACTGCAAAAATTACATTATAACCACTGTCTCATTTAATCACAGCAACCTTATGAGGTAGGTACTCTTACCCCATTTTATAGATGTGGAAACCAAGGCACAAAGAAGTAACTACTGTATGGCCTTGCCTTACTATTTAACTGACTGTTCACCCTTATAATTTTAAAGTCCTTGAGTGCAGGAACCACATTTGTTCAGAGCAGGTTAAATGAAAAACCAAACTGAAAGTATCCATAGAAACTGGGCAATGAGCAATTTTGTCCTTATTTGTCAAGCCTCTGAGCCCTGTGTCCTGCCATGGACGCCTAGTTAGCCACTGGCCAGAGTCATCCTTCAAGGTCCAGGGCTGGGTAGGTCACACAGATGAAGTTGGCCTCATCTGAAGCGCCCCCAGGCTCCACTGGAGAACGGGGCCGCCAGCAAGGTGCTCACTGTCTGCAGTGGGCATAGTGAATCCTGGGTTGTGAGCAAGATCATTAAGGACTATTAGCACATAAGAAGCTATAACTAAAAGGCAGGCACTGCATTGCCCGTTGCTTGTATTATCCCAGATGGACAACAGTATTATACACTCAACAAAGCGCTCACGAATTAATGCTTTTTAAGTGTGTGGCAGGGGTAGGGAGGGAGGGACTGATTCATATCCTAAAGGGAACATTTTAACAACAGCAAACAACTCGGGGAACATACGCGTGGTTTAGTAATGATGGGGTCTCTTCTCTTAATATTCCTATATAAATACCAGTATCAGGCAGTTATAACGCAATATAAAGTACACTGGACTTGGAGTTAGCATGAATGGGTTGAGGTTCTAGTTCTGCAACTTAGCCAAGTGATATGGAGCGAGTAACCACATCCCTGAAACCTCAGACACAAAACAGCAGGAGTATTATGGACATGTAAGTGCCCTATCAATAATAAAGCACCGACCAAATGTTGGGGGTTATGAGTACTTGCAGTCACCTCCGACATCAGCAACTTAATATCATTCCTTACCCAGCATGGACCAGCATATAGGAGATAAACCTCCAGGCTTGCTCCCGCTTCTCAGGACTGTAGATAAAGGGACTCTCCAGGATGCCTATGTCCAGGGTGATCCACTGTTTCTGAGGCTTCCACATAGCATAGTAAATAAACACCGCCAACTGCCAGGGAGGGGCAGGCATGAATGTTAACCACCTTCTGCAAAGAGTGGCCCTATTAAAGCCTAAGGGCACTACTACCTTGCTTTCAAACGATTAGCTCTCAAGTGGGCCCCTCCATAGCATGTGCTCAGAAGATGACAGGAGTTAAATGTCCTTGCCGTTAAATGTCTGACCATATAACTGTGGTCATATCCCACTTCCTCCAGTGATGAGCAGCAGCCCTAGACCAAATATAAAGAAGACTCCTTCTAACCCCTCTACCCCTTTAAATACCCTCCGCCCTCCCCGTCCCATTCCCACCATTTTGTCTTTTACTTACAAGTTAATATGAAATTAAGTCTCTGCTGGCTTCCAAGGAATAGAATAGGGAAAGGGAATAATAATGGTACTACAGCACAGAAGCCCAGCAAACATGACCTTAACCAAGTGATGGAGGCTCATGTCACCAGGGATGTCATGTGGATGTCCTGTGGATGTCCTGTACTCCCTGATATGACATGAGGAGAAAGGCACTTCGCCTCTGTGTGTTCCTCCCCAAAACCCATAACTCTGATCTAATCATGAGAAAAACATGGACAAGCCCAGGTTGGGGGATCGTCTACAGAAACCTGGCCCATACGCCTCAAGACTACCAAAGTCATGAAGAACAAAGACAGACTGAGAAACTGTCGCAGATGAGAGGACACTGGGGAGCCACAGCAACTAAATGGAATGTGATACTTGGGGTTGGAGGGGACAGAAGAGAAAGAAAGAGGACATTAATGGGAAAGCTCGTAGAAATACATATTAAAAACTCCAAATGAGGGCGCTTGGGCGGCTCAGTCGTTAAGCGTCTGCCTTCGGCTCGGGTCATGATCCCAGGGTCCTGGGATGGAGCCCCGCATCGGGCTCCCTGCTCAGCGGGAAGCCTGCTTCTCCCTCTCCCACTCCCCCTGCTCGCATTTCCTCTCTCACTGTCTCTCTCTCTCTGTCAAATAAATAAAATCTTTAAAAAAAAATTTAGAAAACTCCAAATGAAGCCTGCAGTTTAGTTAATAGTAGTATACCAGTGTCAGTTTCGTTTTGACAAATGTACTGTGGAAATGTAAGGTATTAGTAATGGGAGAAATTAAGTGAGACATATACAGGAACTCTCTGTACTATCTTTGCAACTTTTCTATAAAGCTAAAATTAATCCAAAATAAAAAGGTTATTCCAAAAACTTTTATTTGAAAAACGGATCTTTCTGTGAGAGAATAGGCCAGTACCCGCTCCACAACCCTTCTATAGAAAACTGCCTGCTCCACAGTACGAGCTACGGCAGTCATGTTTGGTATCATGTGACCTTATCCTATTATTCCCCAATTCCCACACTCGCCAAGCACTCACACACCTGATTGGACCATGGGTAGGCCCGCCAATCCATAGGCTGGAAGGATAACATGATAGAGTGTGCCAGGAACATTGATACATTAGCCTTTGCTTTATCTGAGCCATAAGAGGCTAGGTCCCTGTGCTGGTTAATGTTATATGTCAACTTGGCTATATGAATTTGCCAAGAATTTGATCAAACATCATTCTGGATGTTTCTGTGAAGATATTTTTTAGATGAGATCAAAGTTTAAATCAATAGACTTTGAATAAAGCAGATTACCCTCCATAACATGGGGTCACATCATACCAGCTGAAAGCCTTAATAGAACAGACTGACCTCATCTGAGGGAAAGGGAATTCTGCTGGTATGACTGCCTCTGGACTCCCAACTGTAACACTTACACCCAGGTCTCCAGTCTGCTGGCCTACCCTAGATTTTGACCTGGCCAATTTTCCATAATGATATGAGCCAGTTCCTTAAAATCAATCTCTCTCAATATACATGTGTAGGTAGGTGGATGGATAGATGGATGGATGGATGGATGGATGGACGGATGGATGGATGGACGGATGGATGGCATGTGTAGGTAGGCAGATGGATGGGTGGATAGATATAGATGATAGATAGATAGTAGATAGATAATGTGTGTTTGTGTATGTACACACCCCATTGGTTCTGTTTTTCTTTTTCTTTTTTTTTTTTTTTAAGATTTTATTTATTTGACAGAGATAGCGAGAGAGGGAACACAAGCAGGGGGAATGGGAGAGGGAGAAGCAAGCTTCCTGCGGAACAGGGAGCCTGATGCGGGGCTCGATCCCAGGACCCTGGGACCATGACCTGAGCCGAAGGCAGACGCTTAACGATTGAGCCACACAGGTGCCCCTGGTTCTATTTTTCTAAAGAACCCTAATACAGTCCTTGTTAAGAAAACTGAGACATCCGTGGGAATTAAGAGGATTACATTAGAGACTTCCTAATGTCCCTGAAGTCACACCCCACACATACCCATCCCCTGCCAATTCTTTTATGAGACATCATGGCAGGTGCAGTGAGGCTTAGGAGAAGCCCAGTCCTGGCCCAGTTGGTAAATGTGACCTTGGGCAAGTCATTCCACCTCTCTGGGCCTTGTACTCTTTTTCTGGAAAATAAAAGGGCTGACGAGATCAGAATCTAAAAACACACTACATGCCCACAGTAGACATCAGTAGGGGATCCTATTTTTTTCCCTACTGAAATCTGAAGGGAGCCTATATAGCTCTTCTGGTTAGGCTTCTGTGTTGGCTCCACAAAAAGACCTTACCAATCAATCTAAGTCGGTTCATGAGATAAAACCAATTTGTGACCCCAAGATTATTTGGTTTCTAAAGCCCCAGCAACTAAAATTAAATGAAGCCACTGAAAATTGTAGTCACTGCTGGGCAGGTGGCTTGCTTGAAAAATAAAACTCAACCTTGACTTAAAGTGACTGTGAACATAGGAAAGACCTAACGGGGCTCCAGAGAGGGTGAGGTTGAGTTCTGTGTGTGCTGAACTTGCCACCACCAAGCTCTCTTCCTAGATGTTATCCAGTCTCTTCTCTAGATGTGATCGAAGTCCCCTGACTTTCCCCCAGTCTTTCTGCAGTTCCCCATGGTACTTGCTCTAGTGCCCACCACCCAACATACTCACCTCGGCAAGGCTGATGGAGATGATGAACACAGGGGGTGGGAGGCAGTTAGCTCTCTCCAGGTATGTTCTTCGGACCTTTTCAGGAAGCATCCATTTTGAGACAACCCTGTGGACCTTTTTATTCTTGAGGGGATCTTTACCTCCCCTGTCCTCTCTCATTTCCTTCTCTTCTTCCAGCTCTCCTTTCATGTCTCTATCCATATTCAGATTCATATCCTCCATCTCCAAATCACGATCAGCAGCCATTGTCCTGGGTCCTCCCTCCACCTGAAAGGGCCATGAATGTCAAGGAAAAATAGATAACCCTATAGTCCTTGGGTCATGGCTCTTTCCTGGGCTCTCTGTATAACCGTTAGTTTCCAAGGCCTTTCCTGTATATTAATAGAAGGCAACTGAAGATCTGGTACCCAAATACTCATAATATCCATACTCTCATCATCTGTGTTCAATTGTGACAAAATGCTAGGGTCTCCCCAAATGAAGGAGAAGACCCCCAGGGATCACTTCTGGTTTCATCTATTGCCACCACCTAAAGGATGGACTAGAGCCTTGGAATAAGAAACTGCCTTGTATACCCTTTCCTTCCCCTCTGCCACTAACTGTCAAGTCAACCATCAATGTAAGAGATGCCTTTGTCGTCAGGTGATGCATCTCAGAGCTTAAACCATGGACACTGCACAACTGAATCCAGTCTTGTCCAGCGAGAGTAAATGGTCTCCTTTCCCTTCTCAGTTTCATCTTGCTTCTACTCAAAGGCCAAACATAGGTCTCTGATTTCTGATTCAGAATCAAAAATAATTTACTGGGCATCTACTGTGTATGAGGAACAAAGCTGGGGGCTTTCACATCTATTGACTCATTGGACTTCCACAACAACCCCAGAAGGTAGGTAGGAATTTGTAGTCCCATTTATAGATAAAAAACTGAGCTGCCCACCCTGCCCCCCCCAAAAGATTCAAACCTACACCTTCTCTAAATTGCCCGTGTCCTTTCTAAAATACCAGCACTGCCCATTCTGTAGCACACTTGAGTTAGGAAGGCCATTCCTTACTGGTTCTCCAGGCACAAGGTCAATACCCTTGCTGAAACACATCTTCCCAGCAACTCTTGGACATCTGAAGCTCTTGGCAGAGTTCCTACTAATTTCCACATCAAGTATTTCCTTGAACTCAATCCTCAACATTCAATTATTCAAGGATTTATTCAGTAAATATCTACTGAACACCTACTATGTATCAGGCCACCATCTACCCCAAAGTGTTTACAACGTAATGGAAGAGACAGAGGTCAGTTAAAATCATACAGATAATTATATCATTACACTGTGATAGAGGACACCAAGCAGGTGCATAAGACACCAAGGCAGCATGTCTGTAACAGTAAGGACTGATCCACATACTCTTTCCTTTCCCCGTGCCATGCCCTCTGCCATGTTCTAGCCTTCTCCTGTTGGTCTGGTTCTGTTATTTTTTACTCCTGGTTAAACTACTTAAATCATTCAAATGTTTCTGTGGTCAGAGTGGGAGGGGCTCAAAAATGAAGGGAAAAAATAATAAAAATAATGCTGCAAAATAGTACATAGAGTAAAATCCAATCTTTGTAAAAAGTAATGTACTGATACACATACAGGAAGAAATCTGGAGCATTATCATTACCTGCATGGTGGGATTCACTAGATTTTTGCCCTCTATTGTGGAGCCTGAAGTGTAAACAATTTGGGGGGGGGGTTTCTTTGGGAAGAATAATACAAAATTAAAATTACAAAATATAAAAATTGCAAAAGTGGATACACAGCCTTTGAAGGAGCCCATGCAAGTGACAGACCTGAAGTTTAAGCTTTATTAGCTTCAGAGAAAATCCACCTCTGTTTATATTTGGGTTTTTTTGTTGTTGTTTTTAAGTAATCTCTACATCTGATGTGGATCTTGAACTTACAACCCCGAGATCAAGAGTGACACACTCTGGGGCACCTGGGTGACTCAGATGGTTAAGCAACTGCCTTCAGCTCGGGTCGTGATCTCCAGGTCCTGGGACCGAGCTCCAGGTCCTGGGATCGAGCCCCACATCGGGTCCCGGCTCACCGGGGAGTCTGCTTCTCCCTCTCCCTCTGTCTCTCTCCCTGCTCATGCTCTCTCTCTCTGTATCTCTCTGTCTCAAATGAATAAATAAAAAAAATCTTTAAAAAAAAAAAGTGACACACTCTACCAACTGAGCCAGCCAGGCAACCTTATTTGATTTTTTAAAGTATGTATTACTATTTTAATTTTTTAAAAAACTAATAAAGCCATATCTATGACACCTTTACCTGATCCTAACATCTCAACTACTGTACTATTTCTCCCCTCCATTTTGTGGCCCAATGTCTTAAAGGAGGAATCGATACCCTAACCAGCTGGTCATCTGCATGCCCCATTGAAACTGATCTCCTGAATTATGCCCTTCAAACAAATCCACTTCCGGAGTGATGTGAGAGCACCCCGTATGCAGAGCACATATGCAGAGCACCCTTGGCATTTCAAAGCATATCTCCACTGCAAAATCTCACGTACTCCTCAGAATTATCTGAAGTAAAAAGAAGGCAATGATTATATTCCCAATTCTTCTCATCTTCAACCTTCCCAACAGACTTTCCTGTTGAAATCTCTTCCTCCATCTTTCATCTCAACCATAATTCATTCACTGACTTCCTTCTCCTGCTCCCCAGGCAAAGGCACTCTTGTCTTGCAGCCGGACTTCTCTAACTCAGTGAAGAAGAGCTAGCGGCAAGGTCACCAGAGGACAAAAACACAGACCAGGGGAATGGCCTTGTCTTATTTTTCTTTGCACCCCCAGGCAATGGCCCTGGGCCTGGCATCATTAACAGAATAGTGGTTGCCAGGGGGTGGGGGAATGGGGGGAAATGGGGAGTTGTGTATTTAATGAGTACAAAGATTCAGTTTGGGAAGACAAAAAAAGTTCCGGAGATAGATGGTAGTGAGAGTTTCACAACAATGTAATGTAGTTAATGCCACTGAGCTGTACACTTAAAAATGGTTAAAATGGTAAATTTTAAGTTATGTATATTTCACACACACACACACACACACCCAAACTAAATAATGCGAAACTTTCAAAGTCATTGTGAAGATTAGATCTAGTGTTTGTGTCACCAATATGTGCTTCACCAATGATATCTTATAATACTGATATTTTCAGCTTAGGTTAATGTATCTAAATTTCCTAAATGACCCCAAATAAAGTTTTTCACTGTAATTTTTTTAAAAAACATGATCCATGGCGCCAGATGACTGGGATTAGAACACAGCTCCACTACATATCATTGTAATGATGTGTACATCATTGTACACATCACGGTGTGTATACACAGTGTACATACAATATCATTGTATGTGACTTAGGTAAGTCACTTAAATTCTCTGAGCCTCAAATTACATTTTTTTAAAATGTGGTAAAATACACATAACGTAAAATTTACCACCTTAACCATTTTAAAGTGTACAATTCAGTGGCATTAAGTACATGTACAATGTTAGGCAACCATCACCACTGTCTCGTTCAGGAACTTTTTCATTGCCTCAGACAAAAACCCCATACCCATTAAGCAATCTCTCTGTGGCCACCTCCCTCCAGCCCATGGCCACCACCAATCTGTTTTCTGTCTCTATGGATTTACTTATTCTGGATATTTCATGAAAATGGAATCATACAATATGAGGCCTTTTGAGTCTGGCTTCTCTCGGTAGTAGTAAATCTTAAAGGTTCATCTGGGTTGTGGCCCTATATCAGTACTTCGTTCCTTTTTTTTTTTTTTTAAGTACGTGCCACACCCAAATATGAGGCTTGAACTCACTACCCTGAGATCAAGCATCTTGTGGGGGAGGTGGCAATGGGTGAAATAGGTGATGGGGATTAAGGACGGCACTTTTGATGAGCACCAGGTGTTGTATGTAAGTCATGAATCACTAAATTCTACACCTGAAACTAACATTACACTGTATGTTAACTGCAATCGCATAAAAACTTGAAAAAGAAAAAAAAAAAGAGTCACCTGCTCCACTGACTGAGCCAGCCAGGCACCCCAGTATTTCATTCCTTTTTATGGCTAAATAATATTGCATCGTATAAATATATAAACCCATTTTTTTAAACATTTTATTTATTCACTTTAGAGATACATGGAGAGAAAGAGCAAGAGAGTGAGAGAGAGAGTACAAGCAGGGGGAGGAGCAGAGGGCCAGGGACAAGCAGATTCCATGCTGAGCACAGAGCCCCACACGGGGCTTGATCCCAGGACCCTGAGATCATGACCTGAGCCAAAACCAAGAGTCAGATGCTCAACCGACTGTGTCATCCAGGTGCCCCTATAAACACATTTTGCTTATCCATTCGTCTGTTGAAGGACATTTAGATTGTTTCCATCTTTGACTACTATGAATGGAGCTGCTATGAACATCCCTGTGCATTGTTTGAATTCCTGTTTTCACTTATTTGGGGTACGTTCCTTGGAGTGGAATTGCTGAGCTATACAGTAACTCTACAATTTATTGGGAAACTCTCAGATTCCATTTTAAAATGGGGATAATTCAAAAAAATAAAAATAAAGTGGGGATAATGATAGAACTTACCTTATAGCATTGTTGGAAAGATTGTTCAAGGCAATGCATGTAAAGCACTTAGAATAGTATCTGGCACATAGTAAACACTCCATAATTGTTAGTTATTATTCGCTATAGATGGATGAGTGGGTGTGTGGATGGTTGGATGGAAGGATGGAAAGATGAAAGGGATGGGGCTAAGTGTAGGGCCTACTTTCACACTGCAAGTTACTGGGAATCAACTCCTATTGAATTTATTTTTAAAAATAGTTCATTAGGCAGTTTCCACATTACAATAGATCATATTCAGTAAATTTAGGGAAGAAGAGAAATCCCCTTTTATGTTACTTTTCCCCAGCAACTTTTCTGAGAAGAAAGTTCCCTCCCCTACATCTACCACCCTCCCACTTACCCAACCTCCCAGGGTCAGACACTAAGTCTGTAGACCTAACTATTTCATTAATTTTCCTTGAATGATGATTATTTCTAGATGCACAACTTCTCATAATTGGCAAAACAATGTGGATGTAAGATCTGTAGCTTTTAACAGCAAATATTAAAGCATTTTAAAAATAAGTTCAGGGGCACCTGGGTGGCTCAGTGGGTTGAGCGTGCGACTCTTGGTTTAGGCTCAAGTCATGATCTCACTGTTGTGAGATGGAGCCCCATGTCAGGCTCTGCACTCAGGGAAGAATCTGCTTTTCCTTCTCCTTCTGCTCCTCCATCCCTCACCCCCACCCCCGCTCGCACTTTCTCTCTCTCTAAAATAAATAAAT